AAGAACCACGAGTCCTGCACAAACGGAGCCAACACAGTGGTGAGAAGCAAATTGCGTCCGAAATGCGTCCGCCTGATTGTCGATCTATTTTCTGGCGTGCACGCAGTGGTGACGAGCAAATTGCGTCTCAAATGCAACCGCCTGGGGGGAGGAGGAGGAAGTAGGAGGAGGAGGAGGAGGAGGAGGAGGAGGAGGAGGAGGAGGAGGAGCGAGGAGGAGGAGGAGGAGGAGAGCGGACTGGCACCCCCCGCAGGCGTTGGCAGCAGGGTGTCGGGCACGGCGTCGGGAGGGCGTCGGTTACGGCGTCGAACGTGGCGCCAGGCAGGGGGTCGGCAAGCGCGCCGGGAAGGCCGCAGGGGGAGGGCGTCGGGAGAGGGCGTCGAGGAGGAGGAGGAGGAGGAGGAGGAGGAGGAGGAGGAGGAGGAGGAGGAGGAGGAGGAGGGGAGAGGGCGGCGGGGAGTGCGTCGGGAATGGCGTCGGGGGGGCGCTGCGCAGGGCGTTGGGTGCAGCGCCGGGCCAGGGTGTCGGTCGGGGCGCTGGGTCGGGCGTCGGGCAGGGCGCCGGCAGGGGCGCCGGAGGGGGCGCCAGCAGGGGCCCAGGACGGGCGTCGGGGAGGGCGTCGAGAAGAGCGTCGGGCTGGGCGTCGGGGCAGGCGCGGGAAAAGCACGTTGGGGAGAGGAGGTAGTTTCAGGGGGACGTAAGACCCGGGTACGGGGGACTCGGAAATCCCCGACGAGGTCGTCAAAAAATGACGAGGCCGAGCCTGCATTTTGACGAGGCCTCCCGCTGCAGACATCCCACGAAACTCCTCCTCGTCAAAATCCGAGGCGCGGTCGTCAAAAAACGATGGCGAACCCGAGTCCTGGCAAACCCGGGTCTTACGCTCCCCCGATAGTTACAGGCCACAGCACCTTGACGAGCACGAGGAGGTGCAGCAACGCGGTCCGAGACCAAGAAGCAGGCGTGGGCGAAATGGAGCAGGAGTCGAAGGAAAGGCCGAGGCGGTACAAGAGCTGCGGGAGGCGGTGGTTGCAATCGCATTCGAACAGCTGCCCGCGAGCCAGGTGGTTCATTGAGAAAGGCGTCTCCTCGATGTTCGCCGCTCCTGGCCGTCTTCCTCCCAGCATCCGCGCCAGAGGGTTTCGACCCTCGGGGGGAATGAAGTCGGCGGTAGAGAAGGCAACGCCGTTTCCTCCGAAGGTGTTGCCGACCTCGATCGCAGCGCCCGCAAAGCCACCCTGTGTCCTTTAGCACCCTCTCGAACTGCCTGGGCGATCGCGTCGACCGCGACGTCGACATCACATCGGCCTCGGTGTCGCAACGTGTTGGTGCACCTGTGGACCGCGTAGATGGCAAGGCCAGTCACGGACAATACCTCCCTCGAGCGGGTGCGCGGGTTCACGACAGTGAACGTGTGGAGGTTGCGGAAGGTATCTGGGTCAAGGCGCAACTTCCGTTGGAACACTGCCCGGACAGCTCTGCAGCGGCAGTAATGCTCGATGCTGTCCTCGGAGCCGTCTCCGCAACCGAAGAGGCAACGCCCGTGGCCCTGGAAAATCGCCGCGCTGTGGCCCAGCGATGGAAGAGCGTCGAGAAGGCGGCCGCCCGGACCCGCGGCGGCGCGAGGCTCCCCCCAATGACTGCAGCAGGTGGGATGCGCGGCGGCCCCGCCACGCAGGCGCACGTTCCGGCACCCAGACCTCCTCGAGTCATGAAAAAATCACGACGGGAGGTTTTTCGCTATTTTCGGCCTCTGAGGGACCTTACCGGGCCTCGGGACTGTCAAAAAACGACTCGGGATGAAAAACCGGTCCCGGGGAATGGGTCTGGACCTCTGGGGGTCGCGTCATGAAAAAATCATGACGTCGGGGGTCTGGGCACGCTGCCGAAGATCGTCGCGTGGCGGCGTCAGTCCTCCAACTCCCTGGAGCTTCTCCCTCCAACGCACTGAAGGGTCTGGAGCCACGCAGGCCGCCAAGTGAGCATACACCGTCCTCTGGCAATCTTTCCGCCACGCTGTGTCCTGGGCAACGCCACGGGCGACAGTCGGGCGTGATCGTCGCAAACCCTGCACCGTGGCGCGGTGCTGTTGTAGCTGGCTTTCGGCCTGGGCCAGGGCCAGGATGATCGGCAGCGTGGACCGATAGATGAGGAGACCAATACCGATAGATCGGTAGATCGTGAATCCGATCCGACGCCAATCGCGGGCCGAAAGATGCCAAACATCCCCAACACAAACTGCGAATCACTCGAGAGTGGTCCCCTGGGTATTCTCACCCAGGCGACAGCCAGAGAAACGCCCGCCACGGAGCCCACACTATGAGATGCCTCCGTGCGCGCGTCCGCCGTGGGGGGCCGCTGCGCACGCGGCAGCAGCATGTCTGGCCGCTTCCGACGTCACCCACCGCCTGGCCCAACCGGGAGACGCCGGTCACGCACGAGATGTGCATCTCAGACGGGGGCTGGCAAAACAACAAGCTCTGCCAGCACGCCCCGTCAGGCTGGACCTATGGCAGTTGATGGAGTTCCCTCCCGATGCTGGCACCCCTCTGCTACTTCGACGGCACGCAAGAGTTACCCTGGGTAAGAGTGACCTCTCGTGCGCGGCTTCTTGGGGACTGGGGGGGGGCCAAACACAAGCGCGCAAGACGCCGC